GGTGAGGATCAGCGACACTAGATACGAGGACTTTAAGGTCTGATTCTTGTGAAACATTTTCGTCAGATCTCTTGAAAATTTCATTAGTAGATAATCGATCACTAGAGTAATCAACATCTTTCAAAATTTTATTAGGTTCTTGATCATCGTTTGATAAATCCGACAAATTTTCCTCATTCTTGTAAGAAATTTGATCAAAGGGATGTGAGTCATTAAGATGACTCATATCTGGTAAAACAACTAGAGAACCCCAATAAGTACATTCATCAGAAACTTTTGTCGTAGAATGATGAGCTCCATTTAATGCAACTGTCTTCATTATGATGCTTGATTCATTTTCTGTTTCTTTGTGGGCGGGTACTGCAATAATTTCATGAGCATTTAATAAGACATCATCTTTCTGTGAGCTGGACAAGTCAGTGTTTGCACATGGTGTTTCAGGGACAATGGGATTTGAACCCACAGCAGGGCATGTCTCTTGGCGCATCATGAATGACTGCTACTAATTCGTTTACATTACTGCTCGACAAGGATTCACGGAGGGTTCCATCTACACGTTCATATGTTCTGCAGCCATTTTCCAGCTCTATGCAAATTAGAAATTAATTTATAAACCTCGGTCATATCTCAAAAACATGGATGATTTAGCGGCCGTGTGCGTAAATTGTCTAAAACATTCAACTGGCTCTTCTTGAAACGCTGCTGTTGTCGCTCAAATAGCAACTGTAATTGATCGGAAGAGATAGCCATTTTCTGAATCAGCATGGTAATTAAAAATGCTGTATGACTAATTAGCAATCAATGTCGTTGAAGGACACCGGTATGAATTTTGTATGCTGATTGCTCGAAATAATTACACTGAATTTCGTCCAACTTCAGGCTGACGTTGATTCGTTAATTAAAGGTTCAGGGTTTTTTTCACCGTGTCACCAATGATAAGTCTTGCTAATTTGAACGCTTTATTCGGTTCCTAAGCTATTCTGGTAACCCGCAAGCTAGAACTACGCAGCGACCTTAACACGAGAGGAAAGGCGCAAATTAAGCGGAAAGCACTTCACTCCGAAGGTTCATTTTTGTACAGAGAAACACGGGTATTTATAAATTATTAGCATTTGTCATATCAACATTATATTTTGGCCAATCCGCTAAGAGACATATTATGCTACTGACCAATAGTAGCATACCACGTTAATATTCTAGAAAACTCCTCATGCCCTGATTGGCCGAAACTCTTCTGCTCCATCAGGGCTTCTGGAGGTTCCGTCGTATTTCTCAACGGTATTGAAGATTCTGACTTTGATATTGGTTGAAAGTTGTTTTGAGTTCCATATGTTCTTCAATTGAAGGAATGTGTCCCTTGCTTCGCCAATCTTCGCCTTTACGTCTGCATCTGATGCTCCTTGTTCATCGATGATGCCATCAAGTCTGATTGGATTGCTGTTCTTCGTGTTGTATTTGAGGACCTTGGTTTTCCCCTTGTGTATGTTGAGGCCTACTGATGCAGAGACTGCTGCCACACTGACTGTGTATCTGCATTTGTTCATGTGTAAGCGATAGGAGGGCTAGGTGATCTGCGAAGTCCAAATCGGCTAATTGGTTCTGAGCTGTCAATTATATGCCGTATTTTCCTTTAGATGTCGAGGTCTTCATAATCCAGTCGACCACCGAAAGAAGGAGGAAGGGAGAGAGTAGACAGTTTTGTCTGACTCCGGTCCTTACTTGGAATGCATCTGTCAGCTTTCCTCCATGCATAGCCTTGCACTGTATTCCGTCGTATGAGTTCCGGATAATGTTGACAATCTTCTGAGGAACTCCATAGTGTCGAAGGAGTTTCCATTACGTTCTATCTACACTGTCGAATGCCTTTTCATAATCAATGAAGTTGATGTACAGTGACGAGTTCCACTCAATTGATTGTTCGGCGATGATCCGTAGTGTCGCAATTTGGTCTGTGCACGACCGATCCTTAGGGAATCCAGCTTGTTGATCTCAAAGTTGGTGGTTTTCTTTACACTTGTGCATTATTATAATAAGCTAAATGTAAGCCTACTTTTGATTTGCATTCAACATAATTTTAGAAATCAATGCCTACATCAGGTTATTTTGCACACTGTGTTAGAATAAACAGCTTTTCAGTAAGTCACAATGAATTTTTAGGACTCAAAAGAAGTTTGTTCATTTTCCAATATAATTGACAATTTACTGAGAAACATTGAGTTGATAAGCTGTGGTTTTAAATTAAGTGTTTATCACGATTGTAACAATAGTCTGACTGTTTAAGGATTTGTTAATTAAAAGTTTACTTTTAATTGAATGTACATATTGGATGTAAAATAGATGGTACTTAACGCTGACAGTTAAAATATTTCATTCTCATTTACTGTTTTTTAAGTAAGGATCAGTGACTGGCTTGTGATAATGTAAAGAAATATTTCAGTGATCGTATGTACTTCATATGCTTTTTACAACGTTCAACATCATTATTGATTTTTATTCATGAATAGAAGTTAAATACTATTTCGAGTATTTCAGAATTCTGGTGTCATACTGTTCAGTCCTCCTGGAAATTAGCTTAATATCACTCAATCTTTAAATTGTAAGACGATTTAAGCAATAACCTCCAAAGTTGAATAATCAAGTAACCGGTATATAATGGCAATGGAGTAGCCTTGAAACATTTGGCTTTATTTTTTGAGATAGAGTATTAAACCAGATGTTTGCTTTTTCATATTTCTTTACTAAAAGTGTTTTTTTTGTGTTGTTGTCCAACTGATAAAACCTGAGTAGCGAGATTGGTTTAGTCACTGATGGATATCAACTGGAGGACTGCTAGGTGATTGTTCGGCTGTAGTGCAAGTTGGAAGCTGAATTCTGACTCGGTCGTCTAAATGATTATTGGGGTCTCACTGGGAGGTCCGAATGCTCTGTTGGGGTCATAAGTGTGGGCTACTAAGGAATCTCAAACTAAAAAGAAAGAACTGCTTTTTGCTCCTTGATTTGTAGCTAGGTGTATTGGGAGTGATGTAAGCTAATTTCGTCCTTGGAACTAATCTCCACAATCAATCAACTGAACAGAAATAAGTCAACAATTGTGATAATTATATAAAAAGTTTCTCATAACAGTATATTATTTATCTTATTCAAATGATGACAAATAAATATAGCCAACGGATCAAAAATGTTTTGAAATTTTATGTTCTACACCATGGATTAAGAATAAAAGATAAACTGAATATCAACATGAAATAAGTTTGTGAGATTGTTAAGTTCACTATTAGTATTCATCTGAACTCAATTAATCTTGAATGAAAAGTTTTATGTGTAACAACAAGGAATAGGAAGTTCATGCTTAGAATGATTATTAACATGTGATAACTTGGTGAACAAATAAGTCTTTAAAATGAAAAAGTTTATCAACGTTGCTTTCATGTCCAACAAAGTTCATACAACAATATTACTGTTGTTATTATTATAGTATGGATATTTCTGTACTATTACTAACATCATTTTGTCAACAGTCAGTTGACCTTTCTATTATTATTATTATTATTATTATTATTATTATTATTATTATTATTATTATTATTATTAGAATTAGTCTCTACGTCATTTTTCAAGTGCAGGATTCTTCCATGTTTCCAGTGAATCTCATTTGTTTATTGGAAAATTTCACCACTCAACTTTGACTGACTCCTCTGCAGATGTAGATCCATGTCTACGTTGAAGTTCGGCGGAGTTTGAGGATGTATGATCATCGCTAAATGATGCAGCTTTTATTGGAATGTATGAATTTCGCTTCATGTTCATAATAGATAGATGTTGTTTATAGAAATGCTATAATGAAAAATTTGTCATCGATTGATAAAGATAAACAATAACTTTCTGGCAATTAATGTACCATTTTTAACCACAAAATATTAAATAAGTTTACTAGAGGCCTGTAAAAAGCAAAACACTCAGTAGCACTGACATTTATTATTTGGTGTATCACCAATATAAACAAGTCTCAGAAGCTGCCAACGTACGAGGCTGGATGTCCGGTGTTCGCTCGGGACTACAGACCAAATCATGGTCCTTGGACCGAAGCACGTGTGGTCGCACGGCTAGGCCGGGTCATATATGAGATAAAGGCGGGAAGGGACAGGTAGACTCAACATCGAAACAGATACGTAAGCGGCTAGCCCCACTTCGCCCAGTGATAGAAGGAAATCTACCGTTCGATATTCCGTTAGATACTTTTAGTCTACCTGAAGACCCTACGCAGGAAGAAATACAACAAGTCGGTTTACGATCCAGAAGGTGGTCACTCCGACAATGGCGACAGACGGTCAAGATGTATGTGGACCCCAGGAACGTACACTATTAAAAGGAGAGGTTTTGGGGATGTTAGATCCCCAGAACTCACTCGGTAAACACCTTATTTTTGCAATTTTATTTTGGAAATCTGAATTTCTTGTTTTCGCACCAAAAGCGCCCATTCTCACCCTCATGTCGTTATAACATTCCCACTTGAAAGGACCCTAAATGTCATTGGTTCATTATCTCTTTCAATATGCTATTTTGTGACTTTTCCAAAGGACATTTCTATGCTGTATGTGTACGCTTGAATTGTGTTTGTGTGTGTTGTTCGTTGTTTTTGCTGCTTGTGGAATACATTTCTCTCTTCTGAAGCTGGACTTCACTCAGTAGTTAGTGAGGCTGGGACGCATTGAAATAGTTAGTTTATTTTGTCATTGAGTCACTAAGTCTTCATTTCGTTCTTAGACTAGGTGAATTCGTAATCTCTTCAAACATAGCAGGATCATCTGTCAAAAGTTTTCCATGAATGTAAACATAAGGACTGATTATGGTCTATTCAGTTATTATAAGTTTATTCTTGCTTTTCTTCGAAAATATGTTAATGGAGTTTATTTAAGTAGCACAAACTACTGATTCAAATTTTCCTTCAAAACGTCTTGTATGATCAAATTCCAGTTGACCAAATCAACATGTTAGCTTCATTTTTAAAAATACTCCCTCATTTAATCGACGGATGAGGTATCTACCGGCTATGTAACTTGACTGATGGAGGTAACAGATATGCCTAGACTGTTAACATTTTATCACAGATTGCTTTAAAGCATTACTTGTTTAATTTGAAATCTCTAGAAGAGTAACATTGAGTTTAAAACGTAGACTATAATTTAAGAATGAGAAATCTATTAGCGTTATGAACCTTCATCAATTGGTATGGTTACAACGAGTGTTATGTATATTGATTCGCTGCCTACTCTAAAATACAATGATAACAGAAGAGTAAGTTAAGAGAATGTTAGGTACTGTCAAATCAAGATGATATCAATATTTGAAGATATTGTCTGTTTGCCTGAGAAAAGGGTTAAAATGGCTTAGGTCCACTGTATAATTGTAGTCGATAATTGGGGACTTCGCTAGAAGAAATTTATCCCTTCAGCATCTTCCTCAAACCTTCACTCTTGTTAATATTTCACATTTTTCCTCACGATTTCATTCCGTTTATAAAATCCCTTATTTTTCATAAAAATAGTATATCACGTTTAGCCAATATTGAAAATAATAAATTCATCGTTCATAGTGATTCGTCCGACTTGATTTTTTTGAGTTATTTGTCTCTACAGCTTGTTTAGTTTAGAAACAATTGATACTATTCTAATAGGACAATTCTTCGGTTGCATGCTTACTGACAGGTTTCTTACAGGATAAAACGGACAGTGTACTGTTGAAACTAGTCTTGTCATTGATACTAGAAGAAGAGGGATCCTTTGATGCTTACATTAATCTCTGTTGTAATTATTAATTAATGAGCCTATGGAGCTCGTATTTACTTGTATATACTTTAGCAATAGACATTCAACCAGAAATTTGATCAACATAGAAAGCAGAGGTTCTTTTATTTGACAAGCTCTTATTTAACTTACTCTACTGATATAGTTTTGTGGTATGTGATACTAGTGTTAACAATAAGCGGTATATAACACCTGTTAGAAATGAAATGCTTGGCGGTAGAAGGTTGGGAACGGGAACAGAGAGTAGTTGTTATGGATATGAAGGTAGGATGATGCTTGAGACAACTGATGGACAGTTTGAAAATGAAGTATTGAACATATGGTTTTCACATTTGACCAAGAAATTCCATACTTGTGTATTCAAGTATATTCGGTCATCCCCAATTGTGTTCTCGTTCATCACAGTTTTACTAAAGTTGATAGGCAAGTGTTTTGTGTCTAGAGAGAACTTGGGGCCTTTCAAAAGTTATTCCTTAAATACGTTCATTTAAAAATAAAGCGATACTCACTTGAGTGGTTAGTATTTTTCGGGATGTTTCAATCACCGACCACGAATAATCAATATCTTCGATACAGGCCTTTTCATAATTTATAGAAAATCGAATAAAGTAGATATCTCTGGCCATAGAGGGTACAATATGTATTTCCCTGCTCTTATTAATAAGATGGACTAAACATCGAGTCAATTCATTGGATCCCTTTGAATAGAAACATCATGATTAAAATAAACAACATTGTCCATATTATTTATAATTAGCAATTAAATAGACTAAGCACAATTAGTCAGATTATTTATATTATAATCTATGGTTTGGATGGAATTTTGTTCTCTGAGCTGGATGGTTTGATCGTGGAGCTTTCATCGTTCTTCTGAACGACATCATCAGCACAAACTTCAGGTAGGAGCAAAGTGTTCTAATTTTTCCACATGTGGTTCACACCTTGTCCTGTAGACCTCCATGTCGATTGGTTCTTGTTAACCTTAAACCTGTTATTGTTTACTTCTTTGTTTTGGTTGTATCTTCCATTGGTTTGATTTTCGTTTCTATGTTTGTACATAATTTTCCTGATTGATTGATAAATTGGGTCGATTTCAATGCGCTGGTTGATTGCTGACTGCCTTGAGCGCCAAGCTTATAGAAACTCTCTGGTGTTTTTGGAGTTCCACTTTGAGCGAAGTGGAAGAAAAATGGTACACCTAATGATAACGGATGCACACTACAGAATCCGCGAATTTTGGAGTTCCCTTTATCCAAAATTTCCCCATTTCTCCACCATCTCAATAATCTATGATACTTTCTTTTCAGAAATGATTGCATTGATATTAGTCAAAGTAATGTTTCTTGTGAAATTTCTTAAAAGTATGACCTAAATATCAAATACCTAAAGACCGCAGTTGATATACTAGATATACAGCGTAAAATTTTCACTAAGCTACTTAAATCATCAAATTTAGTTTTGGTTAATTTATTTCCCGTGGATTTTGTTCGTTTTGCTCTAAAGCTAGTACATAATTATATTCTTTACTTCAAATTTAGAACATTAATACTAAAAAACATCATTTCTGGATGATGTAACATGTTGCAGTATTAGACCAAGTCATTCTAAAAGCCTGAGTATTAACTTTAACATTCTTCGAATGTTGTCAGCTGGGTGCACCAATAGCTGATGAGAATTTTTCAGGTTTGTCAAAAGAGTACAAGAAGTAACAAATATATTTTTTGTTATACTGTGGTGTGTGCTACTGATGTCGACAGATATAAGTAGTATGTACCATCAATCGAAAGTAAAATGCCTGGAGGTAGAAGGTTAAGAAGATCAAAGAGAAGTAAACGAGAACAGAGAATTATTGGTGTGGAAACGAAAGGACAATGAAGCTTGAGACAACTGAGTGATATTTCTCAAATGAAGAATTTACTGTATGGTTCTCAGGTTTTACTAAGAGATTCTGTAATTTTGTGTTGACTTATATCCGATTGTTCTCACTTGTGTTCTCCTTCACTACAATATCAAAATGAGTAGAACAACTGTATTTCTGACGTCCCGTGACTTAATGTAAATCAATTTTTCAAATTAAATAAATAACCGAATTAAATTAACATGAATTTAAATAGTACAATGAAAACTATGCAGAATATTTTTAGTACAGTCAAAATCATAATAGATTTGAAAGTGTCAATATCAAGTTGTTCTTGGTCAGTGTGAATTTGTATGAATTGTCACTGTATAATTAATTTTTGCGTTGGAATGTAAGTATGATATATGAAAAACTTTCTGCCCAATGCTCAATTTATTTGAAAATATCAAGTCCAACCTTGACATTAATACCTACAAAATACATTAAGTAATTTATGTCTGAACTTTAGTGATTTTCATTCAATCAGTGACAAGAACGTCGAAACACTATTTCATAGTGTAGATAGGGCACGTACCACGCACAAACTTCAAGAATCGATAAATTTCAAGTATTTTATTAAGGAATCACTCCAATTCACGAAAGTTCACTGTCATATTCACTGATATTAGCCTCAAATCTACAGGTAATCTTTGTGCTAGGATAATCAGTAGAAGAATTAACACCAGAATGACTGGAATTTAACCAGAAGTCAAACGAATAATCTTGTATAAAATGACGTGTTCAGTAACTTAATCAACGGATGGAGGGCATCCATTTCATATTAGTACCAATCATATCTCTAGATTTACTTGTAATTTTCAAGATGATTACATTAACATAACAAATACGAGATCATACTTTGAACATGTTTCAAAGGGCTTTTACTCAAGAGGAATGAAGAAGTTGAGTAGTTTCCTATGCTGTATACAAAGATATCAGGTGGATACTACCAAGTAACCAAGCTCTAACCTCATATTTACAGAAACTATTACTACAAAGCTCTGGAAACCCATTATATGATCGAAAGGGGAGTTTTGTGAGTTATATAAATTCATTGTGTTTCGTAATGTTTTCAGGTTTTTGAAACCTGTATTATTTACTAAACACATTGATATACTTGAAAACATAGAAGCTGTTTTGATTGGAAATTAACAAATTAGCATAACGTAGCCAAAATCTAAATAAAGTAAATAAAGCATTCCAAACATATATATTTATATACATCGTTTTCATAAGAACACTGTGGAATATTGACAGTACCAAAGAACTAATGGGCTAGAAATCAATGGTTATGTAGCGAACAAGCGATAATTATGAGTAGAAACTAAAACTAGTAAAGTTTAATTAACTAAACAAAGAATTGTCTTGCTAAAACGGAGTGAAAAAAAATGATGGAGTAAAATGGTTGAATGAACAATATAGTTGAAAAAAATGTTACCATAATAATAATTCTTGTTCTCTTTAAGTTAGTAAAGGGAACTATGTGTGAGAAACGTCACTTGACGTTTCCAGTTTAATAGATTGATTATCTCCAGTGAATATAAATTAACTTTTTCTGTAATATCTACATATATGACATCAGAGAAAAAGATAACTAACAGAAGGGGTTTTGTGGAGATTGTAGTAATTTCAATAGTTGAGATTATGAGTCAATTGAAGATAGACCACTATGGAAAACCTGGAATCACTGGATGGCCGTTTCGTTCTATTGTGGGACTCCTCAGCAGTGCGCGAGGCGGGGTCGTGGAAATTAGTCATATACAGTTATTTACACTATGATTATTTTCAGTCTCTGTGTGTGTATTTTAAGTATAATTATAAGATATTGATCTTAACAGTTAGTTTTGCAGATATACATCCCGTTAATTCAGTAGGTCATACATAACTTAAAAAGATATCAATGTAGGTCGGCAGACATTTATGTTAATTACACATAGTACTTTTATAATGTGTTTAAACTGAATAAAAGAAATTATGCAATGATTGCTATCGAAATAGAATTTTGTCATACACACTACTGTATCAGATATTTTCTTAGATATGCCTTATTTCATTCATAACCAGCAGATTTTCAGAAAGCATCAATGAAATTCTTAGTGTTTTCACTTCATATCTGAACAAATTAGTGATAGAAAAGTTGTTTCTACTGTAAAAATCCATTTCATTGAAGATTAATTAATGAAACCTCTTTCTACTCGAATACTTCTCGAATATAACATTCTTGCACTCAGTTATCTTGATTATTGATAACAGTTTAATTTTAAGTGGAAATTTTCAAATACTTGAAATTCTTTACAAACGATAATTAGTATGTATGACGAAGTGATTACAATCAGTCATTAAATTTTTAATATGAACTTATAACAATAAGTAAGAATATTGTAGAATAAATTCAATTCATTTAACTCCACCTGTAGCTCTTCTAGAGTTACTGTCGGTCCCAAGCCCGGGTAAAGGAGGAGGGTTAGGCATGGGCTTTAGAGACCCCATCCCGTAGAAAACTAACTCGCTAAAATAACGCTAACCAGAAATTCAATTCATCTAAAAAATAATTCTTTGTTTCACATTCATTTTGAAGTTTACTGCTTAACTTCATAATGAAATAATAATAATAATAGAAAACATCTCTTTAAACATTCAAACAAACATTCTATTCTACAAATAAGAAGTTGATTCATTACCATAAATAGTAATTATTAATGGTACGTGATATGGAAAATGATGAAAATATCTATTTTTTTTTATAAAGGAAAAATCTATTCAAGTTAGAATGAAAATAAAATAAAATTTTAGTATCCTACCTTTAATCTGAAACATACAAGTCCCATAACTGGATTACCAACAATTTCATAAGCGTTATTTGTTTTCACCTTATTCACAAAATATTTTGCAAGTTGTACATGCTGAAATATTTAAATATAAATATTTTTAGTATTGAGGGAAGTTGTAAAGATTATTTAATTTGGATAAATTAAATCACAGATTGATTGAAGTTAGACTTATTAGTGGGAATTAGGAAGAATTGAACAGCTATTTTGTTTTAGTACGGGATTTCTCAATGATGAGGATACATGATCTTATCTGTGATCGAACCTAGAAACATCTAGTCTAGTGGCGAGCACTTATGTGAGCTTAATTTCCTTGCATAACAGAATAAGCAAATTGTAATGCAATATATGTCTAGTTGTATTATGCTGCTCTTATTGAGGTGTTAATCAAACCCTGGAGATAATATCGATACGGGAGCGGAACTTCTACTAGATTAATAAAATGAATAAAACACAGCTATTACAGTCTCATGTAAATCAGAAGAAGGGTTAGACTTCAGGAGAAATCGTTTATGTCTCAAGAAAGAAAATAAGAGGTAGCCTCTTTATATATATAGTTCCAACATAACTATGGAAAGTGAATAAGGGATGACTACATAGGTCAATTATACGTGGCTTTTGATGACTAGTGTCATGATGTACACCAATCACAAGGGTAGTGATTTAAAGTACAAATAAACTTGGTAACGTTGCGTAACCACGAAATATTGATTGTCCGATTGTCTACATACAGTCAGTATGGTGAACGTTTTACTAATACAATAAAATGTGTAAAACATTTTTAGGCTTATTACTCAATTCAGTTATTAAGACTGATAATTAAATTCACTTTTAACATCATTTCGTAATTTAAGATGCTTTATCAGTAAACTATTATATTATTCAACACAGAAATATAAAAGAGACATTAGTTTGGTTGTTTTCGTTGTGTATGAAATGTTTAATAAATTAACAACCAGTGAATTCACGATTACTTCAAACCAAATACTTATTACTAAGAGATTAATGTGATTCAGTTGCTTACGTACTGATCTAATATAATTCCTCAAACCTGTTGCTCCATATATTCGAACTACAAACCATAATTTAAGCGCTCTAAATCTTCGACTTAAAGGAATTCCCCAATGCTAAAATTTAGAAAAGAAAACAATACTAGCAAGCTAATATCGAGTAACTTAAGACAGTACAATTTCACTTCATTATTAAAACATAACAAATACATGTTCGTTACTGTTGGGGATGTTAGATCCCCAGAACTCACTCGGTAAACACCTTATTTTTGCAATTTTATTTTGGATATCTGAATTTCTTGTTTTCGCACCAAAAGCGCCCATTCTCACCCTCATGTCGTTATAACATTCCCACTTGAAAGGACCCTAAATGTCATTGGTTCATTATCTCTTTCAATATGCTATTTTGTGACTTTTCCAAAGGACATTTCTATGCTGTATGTGTACGCTTGAATTGTGTTTGTGTGTGTTGTTCGTTGTTTTTGCTGCTTGTGGAATACACTTTCTCTCTTCTGAAGCTGGACTTCACTCAGTAGTTAGTGAGGCTGGGACGCATTGAAATAGTTAGTTTATTTTGTCATTGAGTCACTAAGTCTTCATTTCGTTCTTAGACTAGGTGAATTCGTAATCTTTTCAAACACAGCAGTTACAGACCTATGATTATTGAATCCATGTTGATTTTTAATATGTGAATTATACAAAATTTTGATATCCTACTAGAATGACGATATTGTTGAACTCTTATTAACAGTGACTTACAAAAAGAGATCGAAATGAAAAGGCGAATACTAAACACATTTGATTATAAAAACTAATCATTTAATTTATTTAAGAATTAAATGTTTATGTTAACTGTCTAAATCTTAGGTAGTTAGAAGAGTATATTCATAGTCACTATTATCCAAAGGGATTAAGAAAAAATTTCCGAACGATTCGAGTAATTGAATAACTCTCCGCTGTTCTAAAATAAAATATTGTTGAGACGTTTTTCTGATTCAATGAAGTCACTTTCAAGAAATCTTGTTTTAATCCTTTGTTCAAATTTTTTTCTAATCAGGCAACAAGTCAATGAAGTATAGTATGGTTCTCAAGTTAATTGCACTACTAATCTTATCTATATTTATTCACACGTAAAGGTTTATTCAAGTTAACACTGTCTATCAGTCATCTCATAATGAACAATTTCATTTCATTTTATCAGCAATCCTAAATTCGTATGATGTAATTTTAAACTACGCATTTTACCCTTAACCTGGTCACTTTTAGGATTGTTAATTTAGATATATAGTTATAGAATATGAAGAGAACTTATCGAAAGAAATATTCTTCGTTCATGTATTGATGTCTTAATATGATTAGGGGGATTTTTAAGTAATTAAAGTTAAGTGACATTTTCATGTCTTATTACTATTTCACATAGTTTTTTGGTTATCAACAAGTAAAGTTGAATCCAAACACCTTCCGGCAGCAAGAAAATATTAACTATTCTTTCAGCCTTTAAAAATAATTAAACTGAGCTATTTATATTATGACAACAAATGAATCAGCAAAGATAATAACATTAATAGTCTGGTCAAATCTCATGTAAAATGAAAGGTGTTTACAACTTGTGTTTATAACTGTCAAAACTATAATCACAATTTATTTGTTTTCTAGATCGACATTGTATTCATGAATAGTAAGCAATTAGTGTAAATAACAAAATACTACTACTACTAAAATCGAATAACTCACCCGAAAATCGAGCGCTAGGAATAAGAAAGATTAATTTGATAAAGTTATTATTTATCAAGAAAAATGATTAACGAAATGGTCATAAAGTACTAACTAATTAAAATCAATTTTGCAAGTTATTAACAAATTAACACAAATGGAATTTAATAATTGAGTTCATGAGTCAAATGAAGCTAGGTCAATATGAAAAACCTGGAGGCACTGGATGGCCGTTTCGTCCTACTGAAGAATCTCAAACTAGGAGAAGTCTTACTCTATACATATAAGACCCCACCTCTCCAAATTAAGCATGTTAAGCCACTCTCTCTGTTTTTCCTCATCTTTGTCTCCGAAAGATTCCTGACATTCAATCGCAATACCTTATTAGTAGTGTGAAGGTTCGCCAAAGTGTGTTCGGCCACAGTGACGATAATTCGACTGGTGTCACCATCTTGAAACACCAATCTCGCTGGCTTTCACATGTACTACTAATGTCATCCCAACGAATCACACATTGTGCATTATTTGCCGACACTGGGACTGGTTGGTAAAAGCGGAGAGGTGGTCAGTTCATGGCATGGTGTCAGGGTATGAATAAAGTATGTACATGACTGGACTTGTCAGTCCATTACGACTTCCCAGTTGGTGTCTGAGAGATAATGCAACCCAGTGGATTGAAACGTTATCAGACGTGGCTCAGGACAGAAGTCTATGGTAATCGTGTTGTAACTTTCTCTCACTTTTTTTAAATTGACACAATCTTCTTTAATCGAAGGGATTTTTCCGGTTGTATTTTTCTTAATTGAACTGCTTCTCTCAATTTGTACTACTATCGTTCACTATTCTCCATTCATTGACTTGTTTTTAATCATACTCTTCTTTATTCCTCAATCTCCTTACAATCTCATTTCTTATTTATGTGGCGCATAATTATTTTGGTATTCCTATGTACCAATACCAATAAAAGAAAAGAGCGATCCAAATATTACTTACTGTTATGTTTATGCTGCAAATATGACGGATTGACAATCATACTCTTAGTGAGGGCTTTCGAATCACGTACCCTGTATTCGACAAAAACAAAATATTCCACTTTACTTCATTTGTTAACTATTGCTGAAAATATTAACCACTGGTATAGGGAAACAGATAATTTTAATGATGTGGCTGTTGGTGAAATTGTCAACTGTAAAAGCACTGCACACAAACAACGTGTCAATGCAGACAAAAATTTTAATCTTTTGCAAATATATTTCTAGCCTATTTCCATCCAGGCCTGGTTGATACACATATTTGGAAGCTTTTTAACACAAATTATCCTTCATTGTGAAAGAAGGCGATTGAGATGAAAATTCCATTATCTGATATATTTAAATTGATAAAATCTGTGGTAGATTTGTACATTTTTTATCACTGAATTCCTTTTATAAGTAAATTTACTTTTGAAAATTATGTTTGAATTTACAAATTTTGTAGTAATTAAGAACAAATTTCTTATGTCGTGATCGTGTGGCATAAACCCTTGATAGCTTTTTCAAGTTAAAACACACCTCGGGTGGATTAATATGAAATAATGTCAAGTGATTGAGCTTTTTAAATCGGCCGAATACAACAAGATGAATATGGTAATATTGAATTTATAGGTTATACGCTTAACATATCTTTCCTTTTTTTACAGTACGTAACGCAATCTCAAAATAAAGGAGGTCTCTGTACATCAAATAGATAAACATATCAATCGTAGGGCGAAGTGGTATATTAAAATAAATCCAGAGAATTGCTTTGTATATTTTTGTTCAGTGAAAGTAATTACGACATAAATATCAAAGATCGCAGTGAAATGTCCTATTTCAAGTTAACTAGACATATACTAATATTTGTGGATTAGTTTGTATCAGTTAGGATAGTTGTAATATATCATATGAGTGCACTGAATAATCATTGTATAAACGGACACTATAGTAGTATTTCTTGTAAAATTTCAAAAACGTCAGTCAAACTAACCACATAAGACTGCAATCATGACTGACTAGCATCCACTTGTTTGGATTGATGTTGATGGACCAAACATCCTGATGAAAAAGATAAAAAGTATTTCTCAGAACCAATTAAGTATAATTTCGTACAATAGTTGATGTATATTACTAAGTGGCCATTGAATAGCAATCAGTCATACAATCTAATAGTGAAATTCTATGGATCATTTTGTAGTGTGACCACTAAAGTAACAAGCTCGACATCTGAAATCTCTTCTGGAGGAAATGAAGGGATTTTTTCAGTATTCTTCGTAATGCATATCACGAAGTTTCCTGGACTCCGAAAAACCTATACTTAAGAATAAAAATCAATATGATTCACTTGCATTATCAGAGACCATATCACTAAGCTATTCTAGCCGATAATGCCCTCGTTACTTCAAGTGGAAAACAACCAAGTGTTTATGGAGAAAGATAACGCAAACTTAAAAGAGTTAGTTAAGATTTAAACGAAAGAGCTGGAATAAAATTAAGCAAAAGAGAATAAAAATGTAAATAGTGAATGGTGTTAGATGGCATTCAGATTTAAATCTCGAAGGCTATTATAATACAAGGTAAAGCACGCTCATTAATTCAAACAACAGAATTACGAAATTTGATAAATGATGATGAACTAGCTAGAATTTAGAATTTGAGTGGTAACCGGAAAATAAAGTAAACAAACAGTTTAGGAAAGTCCGTATAATAGTGTGGTGTGTGCTACTGATGTCGACAGATATAAGTAGTGTGTATCATCGATCGAAAGTATGGAGAAAGAAGGTTAAGAAGATCAAAGAAAAGAGAATGAGAACAGATAACGATTAGTTTGAAAACGAATGATTAATGAAGTCTGAGAAGATTGACTGATATTTTGCAAATGAAGTATTTACTACATGGTTATCAGATCTTACTGAGATTCTGTAATTTTGTCTTCAAATACATTCGATTGTTCCCACTTGTGTTCTCGTTCACTACAATAGTACTTTCATGCCTGAAGTCCAATTTACTGTTTAATATATTCCTGATGCTCGACAAGCCATCCATACAAAAATGAATGACTAAAAGTGCATAGGTAATTTTATTGCCAAAAGTAGAATAATAATGCTTCTAAATGATCAATAATGACAGATTTCTAGACAAACAGACAAATGGGTGTTGATTTTAGTTAGAAGAATAATTTACTGCCTTCTAATACCATGGAATTTAGATGGTGGTTGGAGGTAGTCCTGTTGACTACCTCCAACCACCATCTAAATCCCATTATATAGTGCCCGCAGTGTCGAGTCACCTAGACTGGTGGCCACATTGGAGCATGATCGATAGCATTCGATCTGCACTAATAAGGACTAGACAAGCATGACATTGATCACCACCCAGTGATCAATCAATTGTGAATACCATGAAATATCAATTATCAATTTAAGCAATGGTTACGAACAAAAATTTATTGATTATCACTTGTAATCCATAAATTGTCGTGTGAAAATTAAATGAAAATTTATTGCATTTCCTTCTAAACAAATGATGTAGTTTCAAACACAATGAAGATACATCATTACTGGAATTCGAATTTTTCTCATTTATCAGATAGTAACGTTTGGTAACAGATTCAGTAAAAGATGCTTTAAATGAAATTTATTGGAGACCTAACTTACCTCAATTCCATCTAAGTAGTGTCTGAACTCCGGACATATAAAAGCATTCCCAGCATATGCAGCGTCCACATGTAACCAGATATCGTTTTCACGACATACTTGTCCAATAGATTTTAAATGGTCAAATGAACAACATGATGTTGTTCCGAGTGTTGCACACATCTTAAAACAAAAGAAATTTTCTAAATGTTAGTCGATTGTTTTCCTGTTTCATCTGCCTATCATTATTAGAAAATCGTTCAAAATTATTTTACGGCGTCGAGTTCTTGTAACTCAACTACGCTCAGTCATGCATTTGATGAGTCACTTTGACACTTTCATAGAAAGACTAAGGTGTCAGTCTCAAATCACTGTTTCTCGCTAACAATATATTGTAACTAGTAAGTCATTTGATTCTAGTATCTCGGTTTATACGACTGACTTATTTTAACTAGAGAAGTGTATTTCGCGATGAATACGAAATTTGTAGATTACTGATCATTCATTAGTCTAAAGGGGCAAAATGCAAAGTTATCGTCAAATTTTGGGTACATCATAAAAACATCATTATAGAAGTTATTCAGAAAACGGTGGCACAATTTTCAAACTTTACTGTCCTAATGTGTTTTCCATCAGGGTAGTTAATTCATGAATTCATTGTTATTTAGATATTCCGATCAAACACTTCATTGTATAAACAGTCATTTTGATACTTCAGATGTTTATTTATCTTTTACGGAAGGACAGTTCTTATGGTGAAGGAAACAGGTGTTTTGAAGCTGATATTCACCATTACTTTGAGTTTAATGACAACCTATTTTAGTTGAAAAGTGTCTAAACAAATCTTTGTACGTATCAAAGGTCAGATGGTCATGCTTGTAAATTCACACGCTGTTCGAAAATTATTTTCTGAATTAACATACCCCATCATGAGTAAGTACATGAAAAACATTATGTGAATTTTGCAGTTACATTAAATAAAATGTTTATTAAATTTGGATGAAATGAAACTGTCCGTCTGGAGTCCATACCATAAGACACTGAAGTTCAGTAAACATCATATGAAAGAACTCCTTACCTTCTATCTGATGACGTTTTTGAATCTAAATCCACAAAATCATAAACTAGGAAATATTTCTTTTCAGGTCTCAGTTCTATTACAATTATACATCGGTTGGTAATGAAGATGGATACACGTAGAATGTTTGTCTACAATTTTAGTAATGAAACTTAGTCTAATAACACAATAAATATCCAGTATTTAATTCCATTTTTTTCCATAATTAATTTTTAATATGATTCCATTCATCTTTGGATGATATCTTTAAGGAAAAGTCTGAATTTTACAACTATCTCGCACTATGCGCAATGAGAATTGGTTTACACTTTAAATATTCAAGTTATTTGGGTTATATGGTGATTAATCTCGTTGATAGTTACATAGATTGATCTTTCTATTTTATCCATGAAATACTAGATTGCTTCCGGGTCACATTAGTTAGACAATACTCGACGCACTCTGGACAAGCCTTCTAAAATCTCAGTAAATCCATTCTTATTTCTGAATGACGACTACCTACCAGAAATGTAAAAATCAGAATTTACATTATTTGTTCACATAAACTGATGCACGATAAGGTTTTGTTAATCTGTTTATCCATAGCCATGAAAACGCATAATATCACAGGAACAAATTTTGCTACCTACATTTAATCCACTAGATTACTTTGATTTCTGCTAGGCTATATAAGAACGAAAAAATGTACTTAGTTGCATACTGACAACTAAGTAGATACTTTAAAACGAAGAAATGGAAGTCAACTAATAAATATGATCAGATGTCTATTTGCGAATTGGGATGCTAGTATCAAAATATAAATGAAGAGATGAAACATTGTAATAAGTAAAATCTGCATATGATGGAGTGATAGTAACTTGAAATCGTTGAAATACGATTGTAATTGATATAAAATGAAGCAAAGGAATAGAAAGCAGTACATAAATAAAAGGTTAATAAGTGAAGCCAAAAAATTACTAACTTACATAGAATGGAATAAGTCCCATAGACTTGTCTTCCTGAAAACAAGATGATAAATAAAAGAATTCGGCCTTGATAATTTTGAAACAAATATTTGTTAGACTAAGATATCATGAAAAACGTGGGACACAAACTGATGAAGGCATCATTAGGCACTTGTAATTTGAAACAGCAGATGAGACCACTAGTTCTTTTGAATTAGCATTTATTCTCAATAGCTATATTTCTTGCCCCCTTTGACTGAGTGTTAACAATGGAATATTACTACTATACTTTTAACACAGAAGGGTTTGATGATATGATGTATTTTTGAAACAAACGACAAAGCGGATAGATGTTTCGGAACATCGATTTGACTGTTATTTAAACATGGTCAACAAAATGGTAAAAATGAAATATGCTATGGCCAATTTTTTTCTCCTGGTGGTTGACTGGATTATGAAGACCTCCACATCTCAGGGAAAGAACGGAATAAATGAGCAACTTACATGCAACTAGACGATTTAAACTTCATAATGACATATTCCTTCGATCCTACACACAGCAACAAATGTAGGTGAAGACACCTAGGTTAGCAGCAGGCTCTGCAGCAGCAGGCATCAGTATACACAAGGAGAACACATCACAGTGAGCACCAACCGGATCACAATTGGTAGAGAAGCTCTAGAAGAAGCTGAAACTTCCATGTGCCCTGATAGACAGGGAGGACCTGATGCAGATGTGAATGTGCTGTTTGTCAAAATAAGTGCAGCATACCTACAATTGAAGAATACCTGGAATTTCAAACAACTTTCAGTCAACAACAAAGTCAGAATCTTCAACATAAACGTCGAAACAAGTCTACTGTACAGAACTGGAACTTGGAGAACTACTACAACCGTCATCAAAAGGGTACATGTATCTATAAACATTCGTTTATGCAAGAAACTTCAAATCCGTTGGCCAGATACCATGATCAACAGCCTACTTTGACAGTGAACAAACCAGCTTCTAAACGGGGAGGAAAATAGGAAAAGATGCTCGAGGTGGATAGACATACATCAAAAAGTGAATCACAAAGCAAGTCCTACTTTGGAATCCTCAAGGTAGAAGGAAAAGATGCACATCAAAGAACACACTACGTAAAGAATTCGAGTCAGATATCAAAATAATGGATGGTATCTAGCAAAATGTGGGAATGCGAAGGCAGCACAGCTTTAACTAGGGATTCATAATCGATGACCTATGCATCACGATGGATAACAGACGTAAGTAAATAAGTATTTATATATGTAAGTGAGTAAGTAAGGTTGTTCTATGGAGATGTTGTTTAGTGTATAGATAGCTTCCATCAGGTATAAGAGACATCTGAAAAACCATTGAAAAATAAAAATTATCGGACACCTGTTTCGTTTTAGTTTCGGATCCTTTAACATTGTGTATATACTAGCCAACACAGAATTAAGGACATGAACTACTGGTCTCTCAGAGAGCTCCTTTTCTTCACTACTGAGTTATTATGCTGTAAAACTGAATAACTATATAATTATAAAAAAATATACTTTCCGTTGTAATGAGGAGTAAGAAGTGAAGATTTCCTATAAACAAAATACTTATCTTACTTTAATAGCACGTTGTAAAGTTTCACCTCGAACACTAAAGTTTTCATCGACCGGCAAACGTCGTAACTTTACAAAACCAAGCACACTAGCCTTTTCTACAGCTGAATGAGCCTATAAACCATGAAAAAATGTGTAAGTTAACGAACATGATTTAAATTTTTAACGTAGATTTGAAATTATGGCAAGTAAAACATTTTCTATAGAAGAAACAATTCGGTGAGACTATAATTTATGGACAAACCAATTAGATATAAGATAACAGGTGTCGGATTTTTTGAGCGAAATTCACTCGTTCATTTGGCTAAATAAAGTTTTAGCATTATAGTCGATGTTAGTTCGTGATGAAAACTCTAAATCTAATTCCTAACCTTAACCATCAACTCTAAACCATAATTCTAATTCCTCGCACAGGTTTATAATCCTCATTTTGTCCTTGTTAATAGGTGGACACTCTCAAGGTCACTTTAGCGTCGTTCAAAAGTCGTCCATAAATTATAGTCTCACCTATGATTTTATTTCAGTCAAAGATTTTTCAGAAAGCTTCTTCGGTTGACCACTTAAAGGTAAACAATATCAGTGTATGTAGTTCTATCGAAATTTTTGCGTAGGAAAAATATAAATAATGTTTTGTTCGGATTCTCTGAATAAGCTTCAAATAGCTTATCTTTAAGACAAAATGGTTATTTACAGAATGCGTCTAATTAGCGTCTTACATAGTTTTGAAATTAAGTAGATACTTGAGATAATTTTTTTGACAAAATCTGTGTCAAAAACGCTAGTCAACTGACCTTGTGTTTGTGTAAATAGGAGAGAAGTTACCCTTTTATTTATACAAGAAATTTTAAACAGTAAAGGACTATTCTAGAATGAAGGTGGTTCTTCCATTTTTCCATTTGTAACAATAACCAAGTTAAACTTTATCCACTTAGCTATACTTGCTATTGAGTGGCTTAGAGCTTTAAACTCTCAGCTTTCAACTGATACATCGTAGGTCTGAACGATGCTTCATGTACGTCACTTTCAGCAACATAGAGAATCACTAGCCCTCACATAAATTAGATTTAGTACCAATCTAAGTGCATAAATCTACAAACCAGGTATTTAGGGGTTCGAAGGAGAAAGGATTGATCAGTAAACCACAACTTCACCATATCTTCCAATAAAAGTAAGTATACGAGAATGAGAAGTTAAACTTACTAACGTGGATGCATATGCCACAAGTTTGGAGAGAACTATTATTTCAGGGTCTAAATCACTGATCATTTTTAAAAGATGTTTATAACGCTCAATTGCTTGATGACGAGCAGCTAACATTGATACAAATATACAATCACTTGCCGACGACTACAAGTATTAAAAAGAGAAAAGTGATTGCACCGATCAGTTAAGAAGAGAAGTAGATTTTGCTGTGTAAAATAAGTAATTCTATGTTGTTCAGCAGAAAGATGAAGGTAGAAGGATTTATTACATATAGTTGAGGTGTTGCGTTTTGCTGAATCACTGGCAGGCAGTTTTTAAAAAAATAAAACTGTTTTTGATTAGCCACTATTTCATTTAACCTGATCTCCCTTAGTAGATTAATTAATTCACATTTTCGCCTAAAATATTCCTCCGACTTTTCTCTTTTTAGAACAGATTTTCAGAACGGAGTCGAAGAATAGTTATAAGATAGTTCTACGTAACTAGCATAACCCAAAGATAGTGAGTTCGATTCCCAGTAGGTTTTCAGATGTTCACTGATGTGGAGCCCCGTCAGAGAACGAAACAGCTGCCTTATAAAAATCGCTAACTTATTCTCATCAACTACATCTGATTCATAATAATAAATAGTGTACTGAAAGTAGACAATTTACAGGTGAAATACGATCATTTTAATCACGATAGGAATCAGAGAACTCAAAGAAAAATGAAGATGCTGATCGTTTTACAAAAATAAGAATAGATCTTTAAATTTTTAGATAATTCATTGGAGATTTTTAAAGCTATAAAATAAACCATAAAATCACAAAGTGATATAATTTACAGAATAACTGAGTTTACGATCCCTTATCAGTTCGTACCTTAGATGTCTATCAAGTTTGAATCCAGGAGTTCTCGATCTTGTAAAGATCTTGATACCATGAAACCCTTCTGTCATTATCGAGTGGTATAAATATTCAGCAGTGCGCATCCACGATCCCGTCCTCAGGATTCGAACATGGGACCTAAGATCTCGCGCGCGAATGCTTGAACTCTAGGCCACTGAGCCGGCATCTAACGGTGTTCATGTTTAATTTCAAATAATCCACGAAATTTTGCCGTCGTCCATCATTGTCTTCAGTGAGTTACTACCTCACAATAGACTTGGTTGAACTCTACTAGTCATGGCTTCTCACTAGAACTTTGTTCAGTGCTTCCAGGTTTTCATGATGGTCTAGCTTTGGTCGACTCATGCATTCACCTATTAAATTACGATAATCTTCCCAAAAACCCCTTTCTGAAATCTAATAACTGAGAACTTTCTTGAATGAATGAGTGGTTCATTAAACTATCTGTATTCACTTAATACTAAATTTTATTAAAAAGGATTGAATAAACAAAGCTTTAAGTTTAATTACTGGTAAGGTTTATGATCATGAATAGTTTATTGTAATAATTTGTTGACCTTACTTGTATTACACCTCCACCGATTCCGCTACTATGCAAAAATGTATCAGGTAGATTTAAAAGCTTTCCAATCCAGTCACACATCAAGATTTCCAATTCTGTAATTGCAGGGCTTGCAACCTCAAAGAAAATATAAAATGGGAGTAAACCACTTAAAATAAAGAAGACTCTAATTCATTCATTATTAATTCATTTGATTCATTTAGTATGCAATAGGTGAATAAGAACTGTAACTCCAAGTCTTCAGAATTAACATTTTTTTATATTTCAGAATAAGTTTTGTGGATACTATAGTGGTTTCAATGGTTGAGATTATGAGTCAGTTGAATCTAGACCACCGTGGAAAGCCAGGTTTTCCACGGTGGTCTAGATTCAACTGACTCATAATCTCAACCATTGAAATATTTTATATTGTTTTCTTGAAATAGTTAGTGGGATTTTACATAATTTACTTATATATGATCTAATCCAACTTATTCTAGTGTTAAACTATTCATACAACTTTCAAGTTGCTTGTTTAATAGATGTTTTATCTACCTACCGCGTTCTGATGTGATTTTTAAAGTATATCTAACTTTTGTTTACTATTAAGAATGATCTATGGTGTTATAGTTTAGTTAAATTGTTTACTTTCAAACAATAAGTTAACAGCATTCATTTATTCTGAATAGATTTTGCAAAAGGGAAACGAACACTCAAAAATATAAATTATTTTATTACTGTTTTTTGTTCTCCTTAATAAGAGTAAATATATAATTTCCGAAATTCTAGACACCTTTATTAGGATTAACACAGTTTTAACTTTTAACACAACGTTACACACAACTTCATGTATGTTTTTAGCTTTCATGTAGATCACTTTATTAGATCAAACTATAAGAATTCGCTTCGAAATTTAAGACAGTGTATGAATTAATAATTGCCCAGAGTAGTTATAAGCAATGGATTTCAGTGGCTATTTAACGTTGACATATTTATGATCTATACTAACTTAAAATATATATTAGTAATACAATGCAAATGTAGGGAACGGTGTAGGAAATTATTTGTGAATAAATTGATAAATCATATTATACTTTTACTCAAAAAACATAACACATAATGCCTTCTTACCCATGAAAATCCATTACAACCTAGTGCCGTAGATAACATATCAGCCATGATTGATGGTACTGAATTCGCTGCCGGAAAATAAGCATGAAATTGAGGATGTTGCCAGTGAGTCAGCTTATATAAGGAATTACAAAAAGGAAAGGAATACGTTTCATAAATTCAAAGATTATCATTAAATCATTTTTGAGAAATGTGAATAGATTGTAGCTTAAGTTCATTTAAAGTGTATCATTTTTCTACACATTCTAGCCTTCGTATTTTTGATACTTCACCATATACTGAATTTCACATCTCAATGATAAGATTTTCTATTCACTTAAGAGTATCTGAGATACTAATAGTGAAATTTCACTATTCAATATATATTCTAATGATGTTCTTTTTTTTAAAAACAGAATTACATTACGAAGAATCAGTTTTAAACTTATTTAATAAAACATTTAAAAAACAAAAATTAAAGAATTGATCCTTAAATATATACATATACTGCTATTGATATTGATTAAAACTTACACCGGGTAAAATAAACTTTTTCACATCCTCAAATATATTCATCCATGTATCTGATTGTTCAGGTGGTTGATTAGGTATTAAATGTTTTAAATAACCAGGTTCCACATTTGGTAAAACAGGATATTTACGTATAGTTTGTAAATAATTTGATATAAAATCAATCATTTGTTTACCCCAATAAGTGAAGTCGTTGGAATCCATTTTTGTTGATATACTTACATATCAGATTAACTATTACAGAAAATAAAAGTAATAATAATTATATATAATATCTAAAGCTCATATTCTGATATGACGCGTATGACTTAAACACTTGAACGCTAGAACTCTTCCAAGTCATAATGAAAAGACAAAAGGCTACTGAAAGGAATGTTATTCCAAACAGTGTCGACGACCCTAGTCGAAAATAAACTCATTTATATATTGATTGTGATAACTACAGGGGCATCACTCTTCTCTCAATACCGGGAAAAGTCTTCAACAGGATATTGTTAAACAGGATGAAGGACTGCGTAGACGCCCAACTTCGTGACCAACAGGCAGGATTCCGTAAGGATAGATCGTGTACAGACCAAATCGCAACTCTACGGATCATTGTGGAACAGTCAATTGAATGGAATTCATCACTCTACATAAACTTCATTGACTACGAAAAGGTACTTGATAGCGTGGACAGAACAACACTATGGAAACTTCTTTGACACTACGGCGTGCCTCAGAAGATAGTCAATATCATACAGAACTCATATGATGGATTACACTGCAAAATCGTGCATGGAGGACAGTTGACAAAGTCGTTCGAAGTGAAGACCGGTGTTAGGAAAGGCTGCTTACTCTCACCATTTCTCTTTCTCCTGGTGATCGACTGGATCATGAAGAAGTCAACATCTGAAGGGAAGCACGTAATACAATGGACATCTAGGATGCAGTTGGATGATCTAGACTTCGCAGATGATCTGGCCCTTCTATCCCAAACGCAACAACAAATGCAGGAAAAGACGAAGTGTGGCAGCAGCCTCAGCAGCAATAGGTCTCAATATATACAAAGGGAAGAGCAAGGTTCTCCGATACAACACAGAATGCACCAATCCAATCACAATTGACGGAGAAGATTTGGAAGATGTAAAAACCTTTACATATCTGGGCAGCATCATTGATGAACATGGTGGATCTGATGCAGATGTGAAGGCGCGGATCGGCAAAGCAAGAGCAGCATATTTAAAACTGAGGAACATCTGGAATTCAAAGCAACTGTCAACCAACACCAAGGTCAGGATTTTCAATACAAATGTCAAGACAGTTCGACTGTATTGGGCAGAAACCTGAAGAACTACAAAAGCCATCATCCAGAAAATACAGGTGTTTATCAACAATTGTCTACGCAAAATACTTCAGATCCATTGGCCGGACACTATTAGCAACAACCAACTGTGGGAGAGAACAAACCAGATCCCAGCGGAGGAAGAAATCAGGAAGAAGCGTTGGAAGTGGATAGGACACACATTGAGGAAAGCACCCAACTGCGTCACAAGACAAGCTCTCACATGGAATCCTCAATGCCAAAGGAAAAGAGGAAGACCAAAGAACACATTACGCCGAGAAATGGAGATAGACATGAGGAGATTGAACAAGAATTGGACGGAACTAGAAAAGAAGGCCCAGGACAGAGTGGGCTGGAGAATGCTGGTCAGCGGCCTATGCTCCATTGGGAGTAACAGGCGTAAGTAAGTAAATAATATATTGATTGTACACACACTTTAATAATTGGGATGAAATTACATACTGAGTATAGTTCATGTCAATTAAGTATAAGAATATAGTATATTATACAGAATAAAATATCATAAGAGGAAAGAAAACAAATACTATACTGAATGTTGAACAAGCTCATAATTATTAAATCAATCGAATTTTGAATTTTCTTTCCATACTATAATATATATACTATTTACGATTGTGAATGACTAAAAACTATTTGAATACAAATTTTAATAGTTGAGATCATGAGTCAAATGAAGCTTAACCACCATGGAAAACTTCAAAACACTAAAAGTCCGTTTCGTCCTATTGTGGGACTCCTCAGCAATACACACCCACAATCCCAACTCTCGCGAGATTCGGATCCACGAACTATCGTTCTCGCGCGCGGGCGCCTAACTACTACACCACTGAGCCATCCGGCATCCAACGGTGTTAATGTCTAACTTCAACAGATCCACGAAATTGGACGACACATCCACCATTGTTATCTGTGAGTTACTGTCTCACAACAGACCCGACTGAACTCCACTGGTCAATGCTTCTCACTAGGACTCCAGGAAATACTTCTTGGAGACCGTCGCTAGTGAGCATATGTTGAGAGTGGCAGGTCCTGGGTTCGAAACTCGCGAGAGTCGGGATTATGGATACGCACTACTGAGGAGTCCCACAGTTGGACGAAATGGCCGTCCAGTGCTTCCAGGTTTTCCATAGTGGTCTGGCTGCAATTGACTCATGATCACAACTATTAAAATTAATATAATATCCACAAAACCCCTTCTGATATTTGAATATAGTTATAAGTTTTTATAATTAAATCTATTGTAACTACTTAAAAGTCAGTGTTTAAATTTCTAGAGAGAATAATTTCATGAATGACAATAAACTTGAATAATTACTAATTGTTCATTTAAAATTCTGTTTAATTGTATTGTTTTCTAATAGAGAAAATCTAAATCTTGTTTATTGGTTTGAATAAATTAATAAGGTAAACAATTTCTAGAGTTTAAGAGATTCTTTTAGATACTTTTAGTTGTATTGTTCATTGATATAACAGATTGATACAAACAATTATTTGAATTTCTCATATGCAATTGTAACTTTATTGGTTACATTGTAAGTATTGGTATACAATCAATCATGACCCCTTACATCTCTATATTTCCCATAAATCTATATTTTCGTCTATATGGACAAGGCGAACTATATAAGCTGATAAATAAACTTATTTTTAGTAAGTTGGATGGTAATGTCTCTATTCACTGCATCCATCCATCATCATCCCTCCACTGATTTCTATGTATCAAATATATGCTTTCGTTATCATTAACACGATTTAGTTATGTGTAAGAAGTTAATTAAGGAGCTACATTTTATCATCGTTATTAAATGGAATCAATTAGCACAGCGATAAAGCTTAATGTGAGAAAATTATTCTCACCAATCCACATCTTCGTTAACTGAAGTTTGTGTAATTCAATTCAATATTACTACTCCTGTAAGTACTAATACCAGTACTAGTATTATTAATATACTAATTATTGACAGCATACAGAAGATTTTTTTCTATGGTCAAACTTTAAAGAAAGTATTCGGTCTTAGCTAATCTTTAGATTTAACTTACTGTTTACCTAATAAAGCTGACTTTTTTTAGTGTGACGTCGTGAAATTTATATCTAGCTATTCAAAATATTGGCACTACTACACCAAGCTAAATCAGTATAGATATTTACATAATAAATTCTTCTAAAAATTTCATTTATTATGTGGAGTAGCTTTCAATTATTTTCATCACGATTTTAAAATATATCCAAATTATTTTCAAATAATTTAGTATAAGCTCAAATGAAATCAATGCATGGTTTGTTTCATTAAAGATGAACAACTTATAGTAAGAATACACAGTGTGGTGTGTGCTACTGATGTCGACAGATATAAGTAGTGTGCATCATCGATCGAAAGTAAAATGCCTGGAGGCAGAAGGTTACGAAGATAGATGAAAGAAAACGAAAACAGAGAATTGTTGGTGTGGAAACGAAGGAACAGTGAGGTCTGAGACGATTTACGGATATTTTGCAAATGAAGTATTTACTATACGATTTTCAGGTTTTAATAAAATATTCTGTAATTTTGTATTCTAGTACATTCGATGGTTCCCACTTGTGTTCTCGTTTACTACACACAGAAACTAGTTTATTTATACCAAATGTTGTAACTTATGTACATATATACCCTAGTTTTTACTGTCTATCTTGAACTAAACTAATCAAGAAGGTAAATATAGTTAATGTTCAATAGCTTAGTGCTTACATATACTCAATTAATTTATAAGTTAGTTGAAGCAGTGATCAAGATTTTGTATCGTTAGTACTTAACCATGAGATAACGTAGCACAATGACAATTTATTTTTGATTAATAATGTCTAAGTTTACATCATATTTTTTCTAACGAAAACGTCAATGACAACAATGATTTAATATTTCATATACATAGCTCCCTTGATTAGCCTAAAGAGAGCAAAAACAAAGACTGGTGCAGTGTATTATGAATTCACTTGATTTCGTTAAGTTTTCATCAGCAGCTTACAAGCTATATTATTTTAAAGTCAAAGATAATGATTAAATAATATAAAAAGTTTCATCCATAAAAGTCAAAGCAGCCCATTATTCATATAACAAAGGCAGGTCAAAAGAATGATAAGTATCTAATGAATAACCTTACCTATAGTAAATTCTCTGTATACGATAATCAAAATATAACAAATTTTATTTATCTAATGCTTCATCCAAGTATGGATGGAGTGATATCAGATGCTGGTGTATATTTGTTCAGTATCAACAAGTATCGAAAATCAATCACATTTTTTTCAAGAAGAAATGTGTATAAAAAAAGTTGATGACTTCAATAACGCTTACTAATATAAAATTTATGGAAAAGGATGAACACAATTTGTTGTCATTAATAGACTTGTTAAGTACTATGAAAAACACATGATAGAAACAGAATTAATTAAAGGATTATAAACCTTTTTATTAGTGATAGTTTCATTTAGTAATAACAACAGGAAAAAGATGGACCAAACTATGTAATATTCTCACGTTAAATCATGACCAGTTGATTATGGCTATTTCACGAATGAGACAGTTACCCACCAATGGTACTAAGAGATTGTATCGCAGTACCACGAGTTAAATTGACGTTAGAAATGTAAACCATTGAATACCAACTAATGATACTAAGGTTGAGCGTTCTTACAGAAACCTGAATGTTGTGGCGTTTGTCCCTGGTGAGATAATAAACATGCACTATCGATGAGCCTTATGCTAGTACGAAACAGATGTCCAATACTTCTTGTTCTTCAATTATTTTCTAATTAATTTCAGTCTATAGAACAAAGTCTACAGTTCTTATATTCAATTGACTTGAAAAAGTTAAAACTTTGAATGGAACAAAGTATAACTAACTTTCACGTAAACAATACATTTAAGCTTTATGATTCAGCACTTGAAATGTCATTCATCAAAGTATTAGAATGATTTAATAGAAACATTTAACTGTTAAATTTAAAATTATCCTATAACTTACAGATAACTTAATTGTCCTGTTGTTTTCCTTATTATTTGATATATAGACTAGTTGATTATATAACTTATACACCATTTAAGCATACAAACTATATATAAATATTTTTTTTTAAGTATAGTTCCATTCATTCTAAAATAAACCAATTAATACATTGTTATATAAATCATCATTTTCTCATTGAATTAAGTTATCCAATCATTTTAGGTATATGAATATGAGAGAAGACTATCCACTTAATAAAACTACTGAATACATAAAGATTTCAATTATTGTTAAGACATTTTATATAAAGATATTCAAATAAGTATATACACTTCAATTAATTTTCAATGTCATAAACAGATATATCAAAATGGATTGTTTAAATTGATCTTGTAAATTTTAAATCCTTTATTTATTTAAAGCTCATTATTATCATTATTATTATTATTATCATTCTTGGAAACATTTAATATCAGCGTTCCAATATTTATATTTTTCAGTTTAGTGGTTGTGGAGATTGTTAAGTTTTTGATTGAGATCATGAACCGATTGATGTTAGACCACCACCTTTGGAAACCTGGAAGCACTGGACGGCCGTTTCGTCCTATTGCAGGACTCCTCAATCGGTTCATTATCTTAATCAAACACTTAACAATCTCCACAACCTCTTAACTGATAATTACCATGTGTTCAATAGTGGCTAGCTTCTTGAGAAAATGCTCGGAGTTCTAGTGAGAAGCCGTGACCAGTGGAGCTAATCCGTGTCGGGTAGAAACAGGTGTCTATCTCAGTAAATGGAAGCCGGCTCAGTGGTCCAGTAGGTTATGTTCGCGCGAAAGACTAAAGGCCCTAGGTTCGAATCCCGCGAGGGGATCGTGGATGCGCACTGCTGAGGAGTACCACAATAGGACGAAAGGGCCGTCCAATGATTCGAGGTTTTCGATGGTGGTAACATCAATGTTCATGATATCAATCAAAAATTATATTTTTTTAAAAAAGACTTTTTCTTTCCTCCTTTATTTGTAAAATACCCGTAAACGGTTTACTTAAAATTCGATCCCTATGATAACAAATATATATATATATATATATATATATATATATATATATATATATATATATATATATATATATACAAAATAACAAACAAAGCTAGTTGTTTATTATAATTAAAAAAATATTTAGTGTACTACATAGTTATATAAATAAATTGGAATTAATCGAAAATGTGTTGTAAGTTTAATTAAGTTTTATAAAAACTGTAAATCTGTTCCAACAATTTGTGAATTAGTGTTTATTGTTCGAAATTATATACAGAAAGTAGTTTACATATATTCGATTATTATACTGGAGTTTATATAAGGTAAACTCCGCCTGGAGTCCCTCCGTGGGGTTCTACCGGTCCCAAGCCCGGATAAAGGAGGAGGGTTGGGCATGGGGTTAGCGTCCCCATCCCGTAGAAAACTAACTCGCTAAAAAAACGCTAACCAGAAAAAATTATTCAAACCTTTTAAACTCTGCCCTGGGAGTCAGAAGGTCTTCATTTAGAAGAAGTATGACGCCTCATGATGAAAGCCGAATTCCTTCGGAAGTTACGAGGCCGATGCCCCTTCTGACAACCAGAGCGACCATTTATTTAGGTACATGGAATGTTCGTACAATGTGGGACACCGGGAGAGCCTTCCAAATTGCTGCAGAAATGAGAAGATACAACCTAGAGGTACTTGGGATCAGTGAAACACATTGGACACAAGTTGGACAACAACGACTAACTACAGGAGAGCTCCTGTTATACTCCGGCCATGAAGAAGAAAATGCACCACATACACAAGGAGTTGCATTGATGCTGTCCAAACAAGCACAAAATGCACTTATAGGATGGGAATCTCATGGACCAAGGATCATCAAAGCCTCGTTCAAAACAAAGAAAGAGGGCATTTCAATGAACATCATCCAATGCTATGCGCCTACCAACGACTACAATGAAGACGCTAAAGATCAATTCTACAATAGGCTGCAGTCAATCGTCGAGAAGTGCCCAACAAAGGACCTGACCATTCTGATGGGAGATTTCAATGCCAAGGTTGGAACGGACAACACTGGATATGAAGACATCATGGGACGACACGGACTGGGAGAAAGAAACGAAAATGGTGAGAGATTTGCAAATCTATGTGCCTTCAATAAACTGGTCATAGGCGGCACCATATTCCCACATAAACGCATACACAAAACCACATGGACTTCACCGGATCACTCTACACAAAACCAAATCGACCATATTTGCATCAACAAAACGTTCAGGAGGACTATAGAGGACGTGAGAACCAAGAGAGGAGCTGATATAGCATCAGATCATCACTTGCTGGTCGCCAAGATGAAATTGAAACTCAAGAAGCACTGGACAACGGGGCGGACAATATCACAAAAGTTCAATACGGCCTTTCTTCAGGATACTAACAAACTCAACAAATTCAAGATAGTCCTCAGCAACAAGTTCCAGGCCTTTCATGATCTACTCAATGGAGAAGGAACTACTGTGGAGAGCAACTGGAAGGGGATCAAAGAGGCAATCACTTCAACATGTCATGAGGTCCTGGGTCACAAGAAGCACCATCACAAGGAATGGATCACTGTTGATACACTGGATAAGATTCAAGAAAGAAGGAACAAGAAGGCAGCAATCAATACCAGTCGAACAAGAGCAGAAAAAGCCAAGGCACAAGCTGAATACACAGAAGTAAACAAACAAGTGAAGAGGAGCATCAGAACCGACAAACGTAAATATGTGGAAGATTTAGCAACGACGGCGGAAAAGGCTGCAAGAGAAGGAAACATGAGACAATTGTATGACACGACAAAGAAACTCTCTGGAAATCGCCGCAAACCAGAACGACCAGTGAAAAGCAAGGAAGGCGAGGTAATCACCAACATTGAAGAGCAACAAAACAGGTGGGTAGAACACTTCAAAGAACTCTTGAATCGACCAGCTCCACTGAACCCACCCAACATCGAAGCAGCACCCACGGACCTCCCAATCAATGTTGGCCCACCAACAATTGAAGAAATCAGCATGGCCATCAGACAAATCAAGAGTGGCAAAGCAGCAGGACCGGACAACATTCCAGCAGAGGCACTAAAAGCAGACGTAGCGGCAACTGCAAGGATACTCCACATTCTCTTCAATAAGATTTGGGATGAGGAACAAGTACCAAAAGACTGGAAAGAAGGACTTCTGATCAAAATACCGAAGAAAGGCGATCTCAGCAAGTGTGATAACTACAGGGGCATCACTCTTCTCTCAATACCGGGAAAAGTCTTCAACAGGGTATTGTTAAACAGGATGAAGGACTGCGTAGACGCCCAACTTCGTGACCAACAGGCAGGATTCCGTAAGGATAGATCGTGTACAGACCAAATCGCAACTCTACGGATCATTGTGGAACAATCAATTGAATGGAATTCATCACTCTACATCAACTTCATTGACTACGAAAAGGCATTTGATAGCGTGGACAGAACAACACTATGGAAACTTCTTCGACACTACGGCGTGCCTCAGAAGATAGTCAATATCATACAGAACTCATATGATGGATTACACTGCAAAATCGTGCATGGAGGACAGTTGACAAAGTCGTTCGAAGTGAAGACCGGTGTTAGGCAAGGTTGCTTACTCTCACCCTTTCTCTTTCTCCTGGTGATCGACTGGATCATGAAGACGTCAACATCTGAAGGGAAGCGCGGGATACAATGGACATCTAGGATGCAGTTGGATGATCTAGACTTCGCAGATGATCTGGCCCTTCTATCCCAAACGCAACAACAAATGCAGGAAAAGACGACAGTGTGGCAGCAGCCTCAGCAGCAATAGGTCTCAATATACACAAAGGGAAAAGCAGGATTCTCCGATACAACACAGAATGCACCAATCCAATCACAATTGACGGAGAAGATTTGGAAGATGTAAAAACCTTTACATATTTGGGCAGCATCATTGATGAACATGGTGGATCTGATGCAGATGTGAAGGCGCGGATCGGCAAAGCAAGAGCAGCATATTTACAACTGAGGAACATCTGGAATTCAAAGCAACTGTCAACCAACACCAAGGTCAGGATTTTCAATACAAATGTCAAGACAGTTCTACTGTATGGGGCAGAAACCTGGAGAACTACAAAAGCCATCATCCAGAAAATACAGGTGTTTATCAACAATTGTCTACGCAAAATACTTCAGATCCATTGGCCGGACACTATTAGCAACAACGTACTGTGGGAGAGAACAAACCAGATCCCAGCGGAGGAAGAAATCAGGAAGAAGCGCTGGAAGTGGATAGGACACACATTGAGGAAAGCACCCAACTGCGTCACAAGACAAGCCCTCACATGGAATCCTGAAGGCCAAAGGAAAAGAGGAAGACCAAAGAACACATTACGCCGAGAAATGGAGATAGACATGAGAAAAATGAACAAGAATTGGATGGAACTAGAAAAGAAGGCCCAGGACAGAGTGGGTTGGAGAATGCTGGTCAGCGGCCTATGCTCCATTGGGAGTAACAGGTGTAAGTAAGTAAGTAAGTAAGTTATATAAGTAATAAATTTTTGACTAATCTACAACATTTCTATGCTGATAAAAATTATGGATTTTGAAAATTGTTCGTATTGTAATTTAAAACAACATAATAAGTGATAAGTACAAATTGGTAGTGTGATGACAGGTGTACTAGTTGTGATAAGAATTATAAGGGCTTGAATCAATGTTACATAATGGGAAATAGGTCATCTGCTCATTAGTGACTGACTTCAAGAGGCATATCCTGGAATTCTAGTGAGAAGCAGTGACCAGTGGAGTCCAACCGGGTCTGTTGTCAGATAGTAACTCACAGATGACAATGGTGGATGTGTCGTCCAATTTCGTGGATCAATTCAAGTTAGACATTAACACCGTTGGATGCCGGATGACTCAGTGGTCTAGTGGTTAGGTGCTCACGTGCAAGAACGATGGTTTCTAGTTCGAATTGTGGATGCGCACTGCTGAGGAGTCCCACAATAGGACGAAACGGACGTTTAGTGTTTTAAAGTTTTCCATGGTTATCTAGCTTCAATTGACTCATGATTACAACTATTGGAATCA